ACCACTCAGCCCAGATCTTAACCCCAAAGAGGATATGGTGGAAAGATGCATCCGATGCCATTATCTTTTTCTATCTAATATACAAGATCTAAAAGCTGCGAGCCAGTGCATGGTATTCCCTAGACGTGAATGCACCCAGAAGAATATACACTCAATCCCCAAAAACGAATTAGGCAGTTATCCATGCAAAAAATGGTTCAAAAATATTGAACTTTGTTTTCTAAGCCCTTTGGCCAGTATGTTTATAAGCAATAAACAAATAAAAAGGAAGAATATTAGAAGAAGAATAAATAAAAACTATACACAAATTTTCACCCAAAAATGAAATTATTCACACTTTAAAGAATAACCCTATGGTATTTTTAGAAATATTGTTGAGAGGGGATAAAGAGAAAGAAAGGAATATATTTTCATAATACGTTAAATCTACATACTCATTACGTATTGAAAAATCATAAATAAATAAATTGTGTCGTTGTTCTTCACGGCAAAAACTACTGTTTACTTCATTCTATTTTATTTAGATATGTAACTTATAAAAAGTACGAACACAACAAGCCATAGTTATTATGCAAAAAAAAACCCTTTTAGAAGGCGTAAGTATATTTATTTCAAAGGGTGGTGTAGTGTCTGACTACTGTTTGGCGGTAGATTCTTTAAGAGTTGGCGAGGTTCCCCCACCTGCAAGGGAAGGGTTACCGTGTTTTGAGGAAGAAGGGCGTTGGCTCTGCAACAGAACGGACAGAGAAGAAGAGAGTTCCTTTGTTTTGGACACTGAACTGAAATTGGAACAAAGAAATGATAGGTTCTTGGGTTTCCAATACTTCATAATTAGTTATAAAAGAAACTTTTTCTTAAAGAAATACCAAAGTTGATGAGCTTGATTAAAAATTTAATTTAAGCATCTAAATCTGGTGGTGAGGCCATCATGAAATGGTTCTCACATTTGGGGACGTCGTGTCTGAAAAGGCTAAGTTGCTAAAATGTAGCCCATTATTCGAAAACAATTGTTCAAATTTTTTTGTGCTATCCAACTCTTATTTTTTTGTGAAAAATAATTAAATGGGAACAGTAGCGCACACAGGAATTTTTCTAAGGGTTGGGGAGGGGTCCAAGGTCAAAAGTCCACCCTTCTTGTATCATTCTCCTTTTGATTTTGACCGATTTTCAGGAACCAAAAACAGCAAAAAAACTATTGAATAAACAATTAGTATTAATTAATAAAATTAATCATAAACAATAAATAACTAATTAAATTTTAAGTACTATTTACATAGAATTACAATCAATTGGAAAAAAATCAAGGACTTTGGGGAAGTCCGAACCCTTAGACCCCTCCTGGGGTCGCCACTGAATGGGACTTACTTTTCTATCGAAGCGAGTGCAGTGGAGTATTTCTAAAAACAAAGTTTAATATGTAAGTGACTATGGAAAGATTATGGAGTTTAGCAACATGTCGAAATAAAAAATACGTAACATTTATATTCGTATTTAAACAAACTTCTGTGGCACCTTCTGCATAATGAAGACTCATTTGTCGCGATTTTAAGTACAGTTATGGCGCTTGGGGCACTTAAATATTGCAGTCCTTTCGTTTATTTCAAGTGTGCGTGTTTCTTTTTTAAATACTGTACTTATATTCAATTCCTACTATTAGTTCACTCTCTCTCCCTATATAAATATATATATATGTATATATATCTTGTTCGAATCTTCAGTCATTAATAAAATACTTTTTATTCATTCACTCAAGCTCAAATACATTTTTTCAAACTTGTAGTGGATGACAATGTTAATACAGTTTTTTTTTCCAATATTAGTGTATCAATTAAATTTAAAAAATAATAAACAGTAACAAAAATAATAGTCCAACACCATATATATATATATACGAAAATTGTTCGTTGTGTCACTGTAGCACTATGGATAGCGTGTTGGACTTCTAATCCAAAGTTCGTGGGGTCAAATCCCACCTGGGATGACCTAACTTCTGCGAATGTCATTTCTTTTTACTATACTACTTTATTGGAATAATTAAATTTAATGAATGAATAAATTGTAATAAACAAAAACAAAAAAAAAAAAAAAATAGTCCATCACCCTACATAGAAAGGAAAATGAAAAATTGCAAGAAAAATTGCTTTTTATTTTGCCTCTTAATAGTGTGATTCTGTCATATGTATATATACATATTTTTTATATTAATTAAAACTGTTTAATAAAAAAAAACTAAAATAAAATGTTTCTTAGTTGACCTAAGTAGGAATTGACCTTATTTTTCTTATATTACTTGTTTTTTGTATAATTGCACTAATAGGCACCACTCTGAGCTTGTTAAAGACGCACTATAAAGCAACATGTGGACCGTCGGCAATGAACCTAGTAATTTTGAACTATGCTCGAGTCACAATTACGACATCTGAGCTGAGATGCACTTCTCCAAACTTCTAAACCACGCCAGCGCGAGGATTTTGTGTCACGTCAAATTTAACGTGTATCGCGGCTTTTCTACACAACGAGTCTTCAGTGGCACTGGGGCTCAAGTTCATGACACGCCGGTCACGAGTCCGTGATCATGACCATTTGGCTACCACGAACACAAGCAGCATTCCGAATATTCAAGATCAGTTACAACTTATAACGATGGTGTAAGGATCTACTACCTGCTCCTGGCAACAGGTCGAACCATACACATGAGATCTGGCAGCGGGACAGCTGTATATAGAGGAGGACTGGCAACGATAGAAGAGACTAGACGAGACCGGACCAGGGAGGAAGGACAAAACCGGAGGCGAGAAAAAACGTGGTCGGAGGAAGAAAGACGGCTGGAGGATGGGTTTTTGCAATCTTGTATCATCTTAGCATTTTCTTTATTTTATGAGGTGTCCCATAGTAAGAGTGAAATAAATTGGTGGGACAAACAGCTGACTGCGGTTATTTTTTCACAATTCGAACACGACACCCATCAGAAAAAGAACCCACAAGTTTATAGATGGAATGGTAGTTTTACATTTCCTCGTGTTTTATTTATAAGCCTCTTGACAAATTAATGGATCAATAATGATATAGTATATGTTGAGCGACAAGAAAAGGGAAAAAGTCAGAAATCGCATTAAACTATGTAATCTCTTTCTTTCTTTCTTTCTTTTTTTTTTAACCTCTCATGATTGTGGACAAATATACTTATCTTGTTACTGTCTTGTGCAAAAGTTAAACTAAAATCTCATGAGGTCAATAAATCAAGAAAAAAGTTAACGAATCCTTTCAGGAGGATAAAATCTTCATTCGTGAACATCTGTCTTTCTCTTAAAGCTGGACAATTTTCTTTCCCATTTTATCTTAAGGAATTACATGTTTCTTGCGAATTATTAAAAGTGTTGAACATACGCACCACCTCTCTCTCGTTTCACACACATTTATATAAAAGCATTCTTGGAAGATTAAGTTAACTAATGTATAAAACAAATAATATAAAAAAAAAAAGATTAAAGTCTATTCCTACTTAGGTCAACAAAGAAAAATTTTATATTTCAGTTACTTTTTATTAAATAATTAAAATTAATATAAATATGTATACACATGGAACAGAATAACAATATTAAGTGGAAACGTATTTTTATTAATTATCATTAAAGTATTGTATTGTCATCCAAAACAATCGTGTATATAAATATTTCAGTTCAACTGAATGCTTTGAAATGTGAGAAAAAAACATTCTCTTAAAGTCAGCTAAAAATGAAACCCACGTGATTGTATCTGTAAGTCTTAAAATAATTAATTTCAGTTAATTCATTTTAATTAATTATAATTAAATATCATTTTTCCCCCAAAACAAAAGTGTATAAAAATTTTCCCCGCTCAAAGGGCCCTTTAAAATGTGGGGGGAAAAACTTTTAAAGTTTTGCAAAAGTTCCAAAAAGATCGCTAAGTCCCCAAAAAAATGATCCCAAAAAGTGGCTTTAACAATTTTTTTGAATAATTGTTTTTAAATTTAATTTTTTTTAAATTAAAATTAAATTTAAAGGTATTTTCCCAAAATAATCTGTATATGAAATTTCAGCTCAATTGAGCGCTTTAAAAGATTTTTTTTTTAACGATTGAAAATTTGAACAAAATATGGGAATTGGGGGCTAACTTTTAAAAAGAATGTCCTAAATAGCGCGTAACGACTGGCTTGGTACGATCCCCCCCTTCCATTCACGACAAATTTTGTCCAGGGGTGGTTGTGACGTGTAAGTGGTTTTGGGGGTCTTTTTCATTGTTTGGCCTGGCCCGCAACGCCTCTGACTGGAAGTCATAATGGCAAAAGGGTGCCTGCATCCTTGACAAAGCAAAGCCTGTCTGTCCTCGGGTCGGCGCCTTGGAGGACTGCGAGAAATGGTTTAAAAAAAAAAGCGTTTGGGTGGGCAAGTGCCCAGATGGGACGGAATTCTGGCACCAGGACATTAGGGGCCAAAAAGTGTTATTGTGAGTTCCGCACGAATAGGACACTAATGGGGCCCGGCCCGTGGGCTAATTTTTGTAGCCTGCCAATGATAAGTGACGAGGACATGTTGTGGTCTTCCTTTGGAAAAGGGGAGCAGAATCAGAGGCAAGACCAGAAATTAAGATCGGGGAGCAGAGTGGGAGATGGGCGAAAATCAGATCAGGGGAGACATGATGGGGGCTTTGATCGAGACGGAGATTAGATGGGAGGGAATAGCACGGGCCGGATTCGTTCGCGCGCGCTTTGAAACAACAGGGGGAAAGGGAAAAGAAATGAACGCCGGTGGCATTGTAGAATTTATCCAGCCAACTTCATGAAATATGGGGGTCGTTCGGACAAACGTGATTTAGTGATTAAACTCCAACGTTAAAGAGATAATGAACGCACCGGCTTGGCTATAAGAGATATTTCAAAACTGCATTAATATTTACTAGTTAGTTGAGAAAATAAATTTTTCTTTTATTTCTACCTTTTTCTGTGACTTCATAAACAAGCTACCAGTCCACTACGTCACAAGCACGATAGGTAGCGCGTTGGACTTCTAATCCAAAGGTCTTGGGCTCGATTCCCAACTGAGATGGCCAAATTTCTGAAAATGTGATTTCATTTCAATCAGGAGCCAATGTCATCAGGCCTAATCTACTTCAGATATGGGATGGAGGACCGCCTTGCGATCCATGATCCATAAAAAATTAAGCGTAGGAATTGAATAATGAAAAGAGAGAGGTATGAGAGTATCTGTGGTTTTGATATATATTGCGAATTTTCTCAAGAATTATAACTTTTTAAATAACTTTTTTTTTGTAAGAGACAGCGATTTCGTTTTCCAGGATTTTTTCACATCGCTGACTACAAAATAAACTTGTTCTTACATTTTAAACTCGGTATTCAGAAGAAGTGAAGTTTTTGTAAAATTAAGCAAAGTTTCTACTAATCTAGAATGATTTTAATTTTTGAGTTTCTTATTACAGGTATTCGATAAGAAAAATACTATAAATGCACTTGTTTAATTAATTATTATTTCGGGGTGTTTTTTTGTTGGGTTTTTTTTTTTTTTTAATATTTCTACGTCATATTACAGATCCGTTTTCGTTTTTTAAACTGTTTTAATGCTCAATTTACGAAATGTAATACAAAAAATTAGTAAAAACGGTAACTACTTTTCATTTAATTGGAACAAATATTTTTTACTACGAAATGTTAATACACAAGGTGTGTCCGGAAACTAGGCCCCGTTTTGGAAAAACTCGCAAAGAAAATCTTTCTACGAAACAAAATTCATTTTTACATGGAAGAGAATGCTGCACACTTTTTCCTACAGTTATCACCATTGTTAGTCATTTGTTAAATCAGAAAACCAAATTGTCTATAACCTTTTCAGAAAAAGATTCCACCAATGTGTGTGTGTGAAGAGAGCCATTGTTGAACAGCACTTTGTGGAAAATCATGACAAACTTTTATTTTTGTTTGTTTTCACGAATTTTTTTAATCCTTTTTAACAAAAACCCCCATTCACTAGAAAGGGAGGCTACCCTTTCCCCGTTAACATTGGTACACATATCATTGAATTTTTTGAAATTTCCACCATTTTTTTCGGACATTTTCACTCTAAACCTTTACAAGTTGACGATAAATTTCAACTGGATTAACATTTCTTGCGTTAAAAAAACGGATTAAAGATCGCGTTCACAATCGGGGGGATCAATAATCGTCTTAAACGCTTTGAACCCTCTCTAACACATGTAAAAACAGCACAATCTGGTTATAATGGCGTCATTATACTGGCTATCAGCCAGAAACACGAGTGCGCGAAGGAAGAACTCTGATACTACCACTGAGATTATGGTAGAACGAAATGGTTCTTAGTTTCCGGATGTGTGCTTCGTAGATTTCGTCATAGGTATGGAAAATATATACTGTTACGTTTTTCGGGGTTCGAAGATTTTATGCAAATCAGTCGCGACGAACAAGACAGTTCTTTAAAGCAGGAATTTTTGTCGAAAAAAACAATCCGTAAAGGGTTCAGCAGCAAAATTCCCGAATAAAAATGAAGGTTTTCACACCTTCAGAGCACTCAACACCTATCGCCAAAAAAAACACGTGTGAAAAGGATTATTTACAAGCACCGCTCGTCCTATTCAACAGCCGAGATAATCGTCTCTTCACGGTTAAGTCAAG